GGTGACAATTGTTGAACAGCAGCCTCTTCTGATTGGGGATTTCAACATCCATGTTGATGACGGAACTGATAGAAATGCCAAGACCTTCCTTGACATCTCATATGAAGCTGATCTCCAGCAACATGTTAGAGAACCAACCCATCAAGCTGGTCATACACGAGATCTCTTGATTTCCAGAAAGATCGATCATCCCATTATGGACACATGCGTCTTACCCGGACTACCTTCTGACCACTTGGCAGTGCTAGCTACCCTCAATTTTGCTCGTCCTGCATCCTCCAAGAAGTTAATTACATGTCGGAAGCTGCGTGAAATTGATATGGTTCAATTCATGAATGACATACAGAACTCGCCGCTAGCACTGCCAACAGCCAAGAATGCTTCTAAGCTAGCAGATCAGTACAATATTGTTCTACAAGAACTGCTAGACGGACATGCGCCAGAGAGATCCACACTTGTCTCACTCAGGCAAAAAGCTCCTTGGTATACTGATGTGGTTAGAGAGGCAAAGCGAGTTAGACGGCGTGCTGAACGCAAATTTAGAAATTTCGGTCTGGAAATTGACAGTCAACTCTACAAAGAACAATGTAGATCCTACAATGCCATCTTATCTAAATCAAAATGCCAGTATTTGAGCGATGAGATAGGGAAGTGTGACACTAAGCACCTATTTCAGTTTGTGCAAAAACTATCCTGTCCAAAGTCACAGCAGCTCCTACCTGACCACGATTCGGATACGAAATTGGCCAATGAATTCGGACAGTTCTTTCACGATAAGATTAGTAACATCGTCGCCAGTCTGAAAGACTCCAAGCATCAAACAGACTGTGAATATCAACACATGGCACACTCATTCTGCGCATTTGAACCTGTCTCTGAAGGTGCAGTTCGAAAAGTGATTCGAGACAGTCCATCAAAATCATGTCAACTGGACCCAGCACCCACTTGGCTGCTGAAAGAGTGTCTGGATGAGCTCGTGCCATCTATTACTCAACTGGTGAATCGTTCTCTGTCTTCTGGAGTCGTTCTCATGGCATTCAAAACATCGCATGTGGTTCCTCTCTTAAAGAAGTCAAGCTTAGATCCAAATGACTTTAAGAATTACAGACCGATTGCCAACCAGATGTTCATTGCTAAGGTTCTAGAGAGGATCGTTGCTGCTCAGTTACGAACTTATCTCGATGATAATGGTCTGTTTCCTGTCATGCAATCTGCGTATCGGCAGTACCATTCGACTGAAACAGCCCTTTTGAAGGTTCACAATGATCTTTTGCTAGCGGTTGATAAAGGACTGGAAGCTGTCCTCATATTGCTAGACTTTTCAACTGCGTTTGATACGATAGATCACACCACTTTGATACAGTGCTTCCATCATAAGTACGGACTCGATGGAGTTGTCTTACAGTGGCTTGTTTCCTACTTGGAAGATCGGAAGCAGGTCGTTGTTACCAATGGTGTACTGTCACAAGCGTTTCCACTCTCGTGGGGAGTACCTCAAGGATCCGTCGTGGGACCTCTGGATTTTATCCTGTACACTGGTCCCATGAGTGACGTCATAAGTGCCCATCAAGGTGTTCAACATATGATATACGCTGACGATACACAACTGTATCTGATACTCAAACAAAGTGAGGTTTCCAGTGGGGTTGTGAGACTTGAGCAGTGCATCTCTGATGTTAAAGCCTGGGCGAGTAGCAATAACCTAATGCTGACCGGCGCCAAAACAGAAATCCTGCACGTCACTTCTCAGTTTCGGAACTCTGGTGAGCTACCAGATTTCAACATTGATGGCACAGTAATCACTCCTTCAGAATCTGCTAGGGACCTTGGAGTTACAGTAGACACCACCCTGAATGTGAAACGGCACATTCGCAACTCCTGTCGAGCAGCTGCCTTTGGAATCCACAAAATTGGGAAACTCAGAAAGTTCCTCAACCAAAGTTCCACCGAGCGTCTAGTAAATGCTTTGTTACGTCCCACCTTGATTACTGTAATAGTTTGTTAATAAATTCACCCTTTTCCCATTTGTCGGCACTTCAACATATCCAGAACACAGCAGCTCGTCTCATCACGCGCACAAGGAAACATGAACACATAACCCCAATCCTTCGTGCCCTACACTGGCTCCCCATTTCACAACGCATCCAGTTCGAGATCTTCCTTCTCACTTACAAGGCTCGGAACGGATTTGCACCCTCAAACATCAAGGAACTCATCACACCCAAACTGCAAACCTCTTCCATCCATCTCCGCTCATCATCCACAGCACACTTGCAACTTGCTCCTGATCCTCGTACCCATACTCGATACGGCGATCGAGCCTTCTCCGTCTGTGCTCCCAAACTTTGGAACAATCTCCCCATCGTCATATGTGATTCCCAAACTCTGGACATTTTCAAAACCAGATTGAAAACACACCTATTTAACTCCAAGTCAACTTAGACACATTGCACATTTCTTTAGTTGTTACACTACATTGTATCCTGTATATTTTGGTACTATATATACTTACGTATGTTTACTTTTTGTAAAGCGCTTTGAAACACTGCGTATTAAGCGCTATATAAATGCTAATTATTATTATTATTATTATTATTATTAATCATAACATTTTGCGGCCTTATTTTAAATTTTAAACGGCCTTTCCCCAGGGAATATTAAGACGGGGTATTTTAGGTCTTCTCAGGGCGACAACAACTTCGGTTCTACAGTTCTTCAGACTATTCTTCAGACTGAACGGGATTGGAGTCTCTTTCTCCCATGTCGAGCCTTAGTTTGGATTTTTTTCATGTTTTGACAACAATTAAATGATATTAATCACACAATGACATTTTTGATGTTGGGCGAAGTAAACCGCGAACTACTTTATTGACGAACTTCGATTAAATGCGGACAACAACAAAAACTTGCTTTTCTTAACTAAAATGTTTACAAATGAAGAAAGTAATTGAATTTAATGTGAAGGTAACAATAGAAACTAATTGAAAGTCCACAAGGAGATCGAAAAGTATTTTAATACTTTGCTAGATCAACTACTTCACCGTGAAAATGACTATAAGAAAATTATCATCATTTCATTAAACATCTTGCACATATTTAACATTGCGTGGTCAATATCGATAGTTTATTTTGCCTCTATTTTAGTCTGATTGTTTTTCTAAACACCAGAAGAACTTCTCTAAACATTTGTATATAGTGATCGGTTATATTCGTACTAAATTGTTTCCATCTCTGTCATTCATTCGTCATCACTATACGTGGCGATAACTCAGCCGTTTTGAAGAATTAATAAGACCAATATTCACTAACCAAGTTGAAACAAATATACATGCTGATGAGCTTCAACATTACAAAGAGATTCCCCATGCATTTTGGGTGTGGCACCCTTAAAAAATTACACTGAAAAATGAACTCATCAGTTGTTAGCACAGCCGAAGTTATGAACTACAACAATGAACGAAAAATCGGTCTACGCTAGGCATTTTTTTTCCAATTCACCTTTTGAATAAAGAACGAAAACTTAGACTTGACTTAAGTCGAACTTAAGTCAACATCCACAGCAAACACTGCCATCACAACCCAGCCCTGAATTCCAATATCACACATCACGCCTGAAGCGAGAGAAGTGCCATGATACTAATACTTGAAACGCATGCCACTTCAGTGTGTGTACGTTTACAAATAAGGGCACCCTCTTTTTTTTCTTTGGTTCAAGCTATTTTATGTAACCGACCCTGTTTGGCACCCCATTAACAAAACTAATAATCAATTAAAAAAAAAAAATGAACATAAACTTCAGGCAATCAGGTTCCGGGTTATTGAAAAGCTAGTAACAATTACTTCCCGATTATTCGCAAAGTACGGCGTGTAGCAACCAGTGGAATCCCAGAAGATGAGAGGATGATGCCTCTCATCATAGGTATCAGATGTTTATAGTATCCCTTGACTGGTATGTCATGGCTGTCACTTCAGCTAAAATGTTAGTGAGCTGCTTAGTGCAGATTATTATGTGAGTCAACTATTTTATTCAGTAATATCAACTCATGATATCAACTCAACGCACTTGGCATCATTTAATTTAGTCATCTACAAGGGTGCAACTGCAAAACAATTTTTCAGATTCCCCACCCCCGACCTGCCGACCCTACATCAGAGGCAAACATAATATGAGAACCATGTAAATAAAAAGGCACGCCCTAATGCGCAGACTCAGTGCAACACCGGAATTCGGTCAAGTCTAAATCCAGCTCTGACCTAAAAAAAAAGCGCAATATACAAAGCTATTTTATAGGAATTATTGCCTCTAAATATTTTGTTTCTAATAATTCTTTCAGGGGCATTAGGCCTTTTCTTTAAAGATTTGAAAAACCACAGGAACGCTAACTTTAAATGGTATACGCCCGAACGTGCCCTTTTCATACACTCAACCAAAAAAGAAAAACCCCTTTATACTTTTTGTCGAACTCAAAAACTACTGGACACATCTTGCTCAAATTACGACCAATCAGCACAGAAATTCCTTAGCAATCCAGCCATACTCTTTGTTTGGCCCAAAACAGTGATAATGTGTACAAAATTATGCAATTTATAACAAATGTTACCGGAAAAAAGTTGCACTTTTATATATTTATACGTGCAAATATTATCAGTCGTTTCATACTACTGAGAACCTGATGGGCCAAATTGGTTCGTGACAGACTTTACTTAGTTTCGTTTCGTTACAAAAATTTTACAGTACTTTTCGTTATCAAAATATTAATGATGATTCTTTAATTAGACAAGCAAAACTTTTGCCAGATAGTGGCCAGGCTGGTCAATTTTCCCTATCTTCGGGATATATCTGTGTTCCCTGTTCTACGTGTAAACTAAAGGGTCCTTTCGCATGCTTCTTGGAATCAACAGACCAGTAAACAGTAAACCTTAATTAATATATTAACATAATGAACCAGTTAAAATTCTTAATTAGAATAACAAAAGCTGAACAGACCAATATAATTATATCAATTGTTATTGCGTTTTCAAATTTGCCTATACTGTACTTTAATGTATACAGATGTGTTCCCAACAAACCATATGAATGACAGTAACATAAACAATGATGCTTGTGGAACAATACATTTTATCTTCGATTGAAATCACGATGTTGCAGCAACGTGTCTCTTCAGTTGCCCAAAGCCAGCTCTGCCTCATCCAACGCACAGTGGATGTGATCAAACTTTGCCACCTCTTGTGAACCCCATGCTTGCCATAACAGCAGCTGGTACTGATTGAGACGCGTCTCCTGGTTGAGTGGTGGTGGTGATGATCCTGTGAGCTCCTGCATCGCCACCACGTGCCCGTCCCCGGCCCTAAGGAGCTTTTTCACTGGCCCACTTTTATCGTCAAATTCTGGAAGAAGTCCAAGAATGGCAAGCACTTCGCCGAAACTGTGCTGTGTTTCTGAGTCGAGGCACAGGACTAGGGTTTTGCCGGTGTTTGTGCCAATCCACAGGGTGTCTTTGACGGTTAAAATACACAGTACTTGGATGGCCTTGTCCTCATTAGGAACTTCTTCATCATCCTGGGCTTGCTCCTCATCTATTACGTGGATGCCATCATCCGGTGGAGATACTAGACAGACTCCTCTAGCCAGCATAGTGTTTCCACACTGAAGGATATTAACAAGCTGCCTGTTAGCCATGTTATACTGAAGTACTTGGGAGGAGCTTTCGATGATGCAGAAGAGGCTGTCATGGTCATGAGCCAAACCAACCACAGAGCGCTTTGCTGTTGAAGTCACTGTGATGCCTGATGCATCCAGCAACAAGATCTAATGTTTGGGAAGAGGAAACGATCGAGTCTGATAAAGTAAATACTTCTCAGCAATATGATGGTTAGGAGCTGAATGCCTGAAGTACTAAAACCCCTTTACACAGGGCTGCGACCTTTGGGCCTCCCTTGTGCGACCATAAAACTGGCCAGGTCGCCGTTGGAGGCTCTAAGGAGGCCGAATGGTTGCCTAGGTCGTTCAAAGGTGGTTTACAAGATGCCCACACATCGCCACGGATGCCATGGTCGCCGTACATTTTTGAACATGTTCAAAACAGTCGCACAAAGATCGCCGAGGAGGTTGTTGCTCAAAGGTGGCTTAAATGAGGCAGAAGGGAGGCACAAGCATTGCCGTGGTCGCAGAATGGATGCACAAATATCGGCCTATGGTCGCCACGCACGTAATAGATCCGTTCTGTTGCAAATTTTACCTTCAATTTGGGCGATATGCTTCTGCCTCCCTTGTGCCTCCCTTGTGCCTTTTTTTTGGCCGACCAATAGCGTGCATTGAACGATGACTGTGGCGACCACTGTGTCTCCATTCGGCGTTGGTTGCCGAAGGTTGCACAGGAGAAGCACAGGGGAGGCAGGCAAGTGGCTCAGTGGACGCACAGGTTGCTGGTAGCTCGACAAGAAAATACCCGAAAATTGCAGTTTTGGTGGTTCAAGGGAGGCACAAGGATCGCTTGAGCAGTTACATAGACACAGGATTTTCTGGGTTTAGGCGACCATGAGCATCGTGGCCATTTTTTGGTCGCTCGCAGGTGGTACAACGGTCGCAGCCCTGTGTTAAGGGGTCCTAAGGGTTTGTGCTGGGGAATTAGAGGCGATCATCAGTAAAAAGACACAGCGCAGACACTAAGGGTATAGAAGACTGGAAACTGGAACTTTCTGCCTGAGGCAAGACTCCTGTACTACACTTAACCCAAAAAGAAAGTCGCCCCTTAATACTTTTTTGTCTTACTCACAAACTACTTGGCACATATTGCTCAAACAACGACTAATCAGTACAGAAATTCCATAGCAATCCAGCCATACTCTTTATTTGGCCCCAAACAGTGATAATGTGTACAAACGTATGCAATTTACTCCCTCATATCTAAAACGTGAAAAGTCCCTCCATTCGGGGGAAAATCCACTCCATCCGACCATGCAGCTACACTCAACCCAAAAAGAAAGTCCCCCCTTCCAATACTTTTTTTTTGTCTAACTCACAAACTACTGGACACATTTTGCTCAAAAAACCACCAATCAGTACAGAAATTCCTTAGCAATCCAGCCATAATCTTTATTTGGCCCCAAAAAGTGATAATGTGTACAAAATTATGCAATTTATGACAAAATGGTACCGAAACAAGTTGCAATTTTGTATACGTGCAAGGTGAGTGGGAACTACAACCTGCACGTATACAAAAGTGCAACTGTTTTCGGTATCATTTGTCATAAATTGCATGAATTCATACGCATTATCACTGTTTTCGGCCAATTAAAGTGTATGGCAGGATTGCTAAGCAATTTCTGTACTGATTAGTCGTTATTTGAGCAGAATGTGCTCAGTAGTTTTTGAGTAAGACAAAAAAGTATTGGAAGGGGGATTTTCTTTTTTGGTTGAGAGTATCTTTAGACTTTGGAATGTACCTCAGTGCTAATAATACGCAGTTTATTCCCACAGGCTATCCACAGCTCATCTCTCTCAGGGACTGGCTCCAGCAGATTACAACGCTTATTCTCAAAGGTTAATGTCTTCACCCGGGACCAAACTGGCTCCTGCTGCCTGTTGCTGCAGTTGGTTGCTGCTGGATTGTTCCTCCAGATAACCACGTGACCATCAGCCAAACCAGCGAACAGGAGCCCGTGCGTGTCCTGGAAAAAAAAAAAATTCACGACACAATGATTATATCGTGCTTCGTTTAAAACAAAAACGTGGCACAAATTATCTGTATTACCTTGCCAAATTTTTGTTAAATCCTTTATGGTATTGTTGTATAATGTAGTCAGTTCCTTTTTGAGGTTTCTTCGAAGATTTGTTTTTGTTCATTTAATGTAATTTTATTAATTTAATTTAATTCAATTCATTTTTCGTGTGAACCTCTAAGTCAGAAGAGCCCCTTGACTTTGTATATTTTGGGCGATCCTTCGGGAGCTGTTAGGTTCTTTTTGCTTTCTGCTGTTTTCCTTTAATTTGTATTTGTTGGTATTTATCCCGAGAAATAAAGTAAATGTAGTATGAATGTAACATTTTTATTGTATTGTACCCTATGTAGGCACGATTTACCCTATGTTTGCATGAGCTAAATTAATTATCTCGTGCGCACAAGATAATTGGCCGAGATACAAATCACCTAATACAACACCCCATGATTGGCCGAGAGCCAAACACATGGCATTCGCTATTTTGCTATCTTGCTGTGCACAGCTATTAGAAAAGTGCAAGTACATTTTCAACTAACTTTGTATTCAAATAGAAGTACATTTTAAATGTTTTTAGATCAAATTAATCAGTTACCGCTTAAAATCCAGCAGAATAGCCTATGTGGAGGAAGAGGCCATTTAAAATAAACACTGAATGCTACTATACTCGTGGTGTATAGTAAAACTAGCCTCCCACGGAGATGACGCTTCATTGTCACCTGGAGAGAATAGTTTTACTACACTACTCGAAACATGAAGTCAATATTTTTTACACAATACGCAAAATGTGAGTTATTTAGGAATCCGTTCAATTGCGTCATGTGTCATACCAACTTTATGTAATGATCAGGCATTTCGGAAAATCTCAATTGATTATCTCCTGTGCGCGGATCTCGTGTACAAGCATCGAGGCTTATTTACGGCTGGAACTATATGCCTATGCCACAAAATATCGCTACGTCGGAAATAATTAAACAGCCTGGTTTTTGTCCCCTTTTCTAAGGAACGATAAAGGAGATTAGGTTCCTCAACCAGACCATTGAAACAGAATACGTAAACAATCTAAAACATACAACATTCTGCGGTTTCAGGACGATTAATTCACCTTGTCTTCGACGGGTAGGTAACAGAGGGAGAGAACCTCAGCATCCAGGTTGAAACCATGCTGATCGACGGCTTGTGGTCCAAAGATCTGAATGTGGTTGTTCTTTAAAACATAAATATAAATAAAATCTGTCTTCCCTTTGCCACTCAGGTAAAAACTTGTCACAGTGCTGTTTTGACCTCTTCCATAGAGGCCTTGTTTGCTCATTCATGCATAACAATGACATACTCAACTTAATATCCTTGTACAGACATTTGTTTCTGAAATATTTAATGCATTTATGATACATTACATCATAGGCCTTTCTTTTAGAGACACCTTGTATATTTCGGCTCCAATAGACCTGAGGCCAAATGACGTCACGCTTTGTTTACGTGTGCGCTTTCCTATGTCGTAGACGGTCCCTACTTCGTCTGGCGTCCTGACTTCGCTCCCATAGAAAAGCGCATATGTAAACAAGGCCATTACGTCATTAGGTCGTAGGTCTATAGAAATTTTAGATGATTATTCCTTTTCAGGTTTGTCATCGTCTCGGGTTAAATTTAAGGGGGTTTTCCTTCATGTTTTCGGTGGCCCCAGACCCAGAGGGCCAGTCGACATTCCTCTTTGCAACTATAAGTGACTGACTCGCTGACTCACTGACTATACCTACTCAAGATGACTACGTGCAGACACCTGAGACCAAACAGTCTGGAACTACCTTTATGAGACTTGCTATTTTGTTGTTCTTATGGCCAGCCACAAGTGTGACAAAAATTCTGACGAAGCGAACCCAGTATTTTTCGGCAATACTTTCAATGTGGTTTATATATACCTCTGTGCCTACAAGGTGGCAGTCTCCCACTTGCACCATACAGTTAGCCCGCGAGCCCGAGCTAGATACTTCCGTCTCGCCATCTCCTTCGGTGAAAAACTTGACGTGGATTTTTGCAAACCGACGATTGGCACCCTCACCAGTCCAGAGCCACAAATAATCCGAGTTCTGACATAGTTAACCAAAGGTAAAGTCATTTTACCAATTCAAATACGTTACATTTCCTGTCACTGACAAATCTGAAAGAATGGTACTTTAAATTACGGCCACTGTCTGTTGACAACATGTACAGGGCACGCATTCTGTGAAGTTTGTGGTGAAAAGTTATAAACAATGACCTTAACTGAGAGTTATTTAAGACACTCCGTAAATAAAGGAAATGTAATATCCTCACTTTGTCGCATTAAGGATTAATTAAAAGGAGAGTCTGCAAAATATATCCATAGTCAATAGAGTATGTCATTTAAATATTCTCGCTAGTCCGGGCAGTATTACTTTAGTAAATCCATATATTGTATGTCTTTCCTTTGATGAACTAGTGAGACTAATTATTCATAAACACTTCCACGAGACAAGTACTGACCAATCAGATCGCTCTTTACGGAAGCCGACCCAGAATTGACGTCCTATACAAATATAATTGCGCTGCACTGTCCTGAAAATCGCCTCCCTACTTTAAAGTTACCCTATAATTCCAGACCTGAATATTCAGCATGATTGTCTAGGAAAACATAACGGGGTCTATGCAGATAATCTGATCGGAGTTGACAATGAATTTCAATAAAGATAGTCGGACTGGGTTTTCCAAGACGTCTTACGGCGTAAGACTGCCACGGTTAGCGTGGATGAATAATGCATACCTCATTATTCTCGTCGGAACCAAGATGCGCACAAGATATCTCATCGCTGTTTAAACTGATGACCTTTTCCAAGCAAGTGAAACTTCCGTTCTTCATTGCCTTGATGATATCATCCCTACTAAGCCTTTGTAGTGGGTTATCATTCCAACAAGTCTTCATTAATCTCTCAAGACATGGGAACATGGTGACGATCGCGTAGTCTCGGAACTGAAAGGTTGGCTTGGTGCCGGCGTTGACAGCGCTATGGATATCCATTTTAGTCTTGAGGTGGTCGTAGGGCCATTTACCGGACATCACGTGATACAGCAGCATACCGTAGGAGTACCAGTCCGCCTAGACAACAATGTAAATTAGTTAACCTGGTTGGATAAGATACACTCTCAATTTCATAGCCTTATTAACAAAAGTAAGGGCAATGGTTCATTCCTTTGCCAGACTAAGTGATTCCGTATAGCAGATTGAATCTTCCGGAACAAAATTCCTGAATAAGATGTTCACTTTCAATAATTTTCCCTCATCATATTAAACCTAAGAAAATGATTTTATGTATCTAGTGCTCTATACAGGATTTCCAGGCTATTTTAAAACGTTTATTATTCGAATTGACCGTTTCTAATATTCCAATTCGTCCATTAACATCGATTAGTGCACTTCCAATGTTGAATTTCGCCTTTTTGTCTGACAATTTCAAATTCAGTTCGAGCAAATTCAAACAACGAGCACACGTTTTCTTCCTGGAGTATTCGATTTCGTCTCGTCTAGAAAGACTTTGTTATGCAGAAATCAAATTCGTCTTTTTGATTTATATATGACGAATTTGATCTGTGAATGCTGCCATTCGGCAACGGCTTAGACGGATTTGATCTGTAATGACGAATATTCTCGACCCGGTGATTAAAAAGGGTGACCAAACTTTGAAATTGAATGGTAATTGACTAAATTGGTTTTGTTAAAAGCATGTGAAATTTTTCTTGGACGAAATTGAATGTTAGAGCTGGTGAATCTGAATGAAAAAATATTTAAAACAAAACCGGGAAAACCTATACATTAAACAAAAATAGTCAGTCCAGGAAATGTAAGGTAAAGACTTTCATTTCACCTAATAATATTATATTGCACGAATTTGATAAAGTGCACTTCCATTTTCACGGCGTATGCTGGAAAGAGTGGGGTTAGCAATTTCATACCTGTTCTGTGAACATTCTCCCTCGTAGTATCTCAGGTGCACAGAATCCCAGAGGACCAGCGCGTCCCTTGGCTCCCTGCAAATCCATGGTCCGAGCTATCCCATAATCGGTCAGTTTAATGTTGACGTTAGCATCGACGTCCAAGGAATACAGCAACACATTGTCAGTCTTCAGGTCAGAGTAGATTATCCTCTTGTTGTGAAGGTAGGACACCCCACGGGCTACCTGCATGGCGATCTTAAAGGTCAGAACACGGTCTAGAATAGTCCCATAAACCTTCTCATTTCTCACAAAGCTCTTACGGCGGCTCTCGGATTCTTGATAGAGTAGATTTGCGAGGTCTCCCAGTGGAGCCAACTCCATGGCAAAGCAGAAATTCTGGATTGATATCCCAATGAGCTGAATGATACAGGGATGTCGTAGCTTGCACATGGTGGCCACTTCACTGCGCAGGTTGGAGAATCCCTCCATGACCAGCATCTCTTCAGGGGCGATACTCTCATCGTACGGCATTGGCGATATGGATTGGTGGCCGCTGTCTCGTTGACTGCTACTGCTGCTGGACGTTTTGCTGTCCTCTTCACCAAAGGATGAATGCACCCCCGATTCCGGCCTGCCAATCAAAATCTCTGTTTTAGCCAACACCTTGACGGCGACATCTTCCTGTCGATATTTCCCTTTAAAAACCTCACCGAATCCTCCTCTGCCAAGGGACTTACTGACCCGGGGATCAAATTCAAACTCCTTCTTATCAAGGATCCTCACTGGTAGGTCCATCAAAAAGAGATCGGGGAGGAGATTAGGTATAGCCACGCCCTCCTCGGGATGATTGGGACACTTCACCTCATCTGTAAACTTCAAAGTAGCGTTCAAGGCGAGTTTGCTGACAGAGAACTTTGTAATGCTGCAGACCGGACAAGGGACAAATCTCTCAACCAAAGGTTTTCCAGTTATGCCGCTGTAAATCAGGCCTAGCAAAAATTATAACAGAAAAGTTAATTCATGCTATTTAAAAATTGTTTGAATATTTTTATGTACGCATTTGCCAACCACGGGTGCCAAACTATAGAAGATCCAGCACTGCAAAAGCGAAAACTAGTTATTTAAAATTACAAAAAAAAATTATTTGAATGTCGAAAATACAAAATTGTCAACAAAGCTGCAAAGTACTTCCTAAAAATGTTCTTTTTCTACGTATTGAGGGCGCTATGATGACTTTTCTGAAAAAAAAATGTTACCTCGAATTCGATTGATAATGCGCTTGCGGCAGCCCATACAAAACGGCACCAATGTTTAAAAAACATAAGAAAGGTATATTACAACGCGATACTTTTAATTTGAATGAATCTTTTACAGGGACGAGTGAAGCTAAAAGACAATAGAATGCTCGGATAGTGAAAGTGAATTGTTCTTTTTGATTGTCGACTGACGATCTGCGTGATCTTTCTATTTCAATCTCAACTGCATGAGCCAGGCGTTAAATTGAATGAACACTTGGTGAAATTGGCCGGGAAACCTACGCACATTTCAAAGTCTGGGTCTGCAACAACTTTCTTAAACACCTTTGTAAAACCTGGCACGAATGGGCTTCTATATAAAGGTGTTGCAGAACCGGACTTTCTAATAGTTCATTCTTCGGTTGAGCCACGAATGGCCATCGACCGAAAGCGGTTGACAAAGACAGGAACAGCAATCAAGCAATCCGAGCAATTAACGTAAATAGTGATTTTCTTTATGCACAAGTTTATGGGCTAAGGGCAACGGCTACGGCTACGGCGACGGCATCGCTCATGCAGCGTCGCCGTCGGCTCTTCAAAAGGCAACGCGATCTGTCGTATATAGAACACCTTAAGCATCATGAACCGGGTTTTAGGAAGAAACATCCGCAATATGGAAAGTACGACGAGACGGTACGACGCGACGGGCGACGGCACGAAGCGACGCCAGAATGTGAACAAAGAGTGATGGCAAGGACGCGACGACACGAGGCGACGGCACGATGCACGCGACGGAGCCGTCGTGCCGTCGCGTCGTACAGTTGGGTCGCGTACGAAAGAGGCGACGTGGTAAGTTGTAGATGTAGTACACCATACAAACTAGCACTTACCAGGGTACCAATCATGAATGAGGTGTTCAATCTGATCCACTATGAACCCCATGGCTGTAAACTCGCCGACTTGACATTGAATCTGGACTAAGATGCCGGGCCTGTCTTCGAAGGTGGCTGGTTTCAACAAGATTTCACCAGATGCGTGTTGGACAATCACACCCGTCTGCCAATACGTGATGTTGGTGTGTGTCAGCATCAGTCCCGCTTGCATTGATTGGCTCAGTCTAAGAATACAAAACAACGTGTCATTATTAATCGCCTGAAGCAACTTTAAAAAGCCTAACATTACCAAAAGAATATTGATCTAATTGAAGGAAACTTTATTTCAAGCTTCATCCAGTTTTCTTCTGTATTCATAGCACGTTATGCATTATTCAGAGAATCTCAAAATTAGCTTTGAAATGAAAAAAATACAGGTGGAATATTCCATCATCCCTCTTGCTTGATATTATTTTCATATTTTTTGTAGACTAATGCCGGCCGCTTTATGCGGTTATCGATATATTGTGCTCGTCAAGGGTTCCATACCCAAATCAAAGCACCATGCACTGTTTTGTTTAAGTGACGTGGCAAAAAGGCAGCCAACCACCATCTTTTGCTAAAAACATTGAGTTTTATTTGTCAGAACTTGCCTTATATCACACCAAAGAATTAAATAATGTCCGGCGGGCTCTCAATAAGTGGGTCCCGGACCCTATAAATGCAGTTCATTTTTTTTGGAAGAGGGAGCAATGTTTTTGGCCCCCTCTCCCAAATTGTGTTCTAGATCCGCCCTTGACTTTCGCAGGTGTGAAATGTGGTGTAAGGTAACGCCTCCAAACTTGGACGATCCCAAGTAGGGTTGGGACTGGTCCAACTTTACCTGGGATCGTCCAAACTATAGTTTGGGTCATTGCTATGGTTGGAGTGTACCACCTGTGTGGTCTTGATACTGACAAGCATTGAGAAGTTCGGATGATTGGAGGATTATTTGCACATTAAATTACTCAAATTTAAGGAGCAGGTTGCAAACCTTGAGGACATCCCTGTTATTTCGCTTCTAACTCTCTTCTCGGGCCTCTTTCGGGCTTTAGTCCCCTTGCTTCCCTCCTCATCCAGTAACTTGAGGAATACGTAGACTCTGGACACCAGTCGACTCCAGAATCCTGGCGGATCGTAGGCTAGCCTATAATGGCGTTCTAGGACCTGATAGAGACTGTCCTCGGTATGGGAGATCAGGAAATCCCGACCCGGCTTGTTTTTGGGAAGTCGACTGGGAATCAGGAATCTTTGCAGAATGGGAAAATGTTTCACATTATTACAAAGAGAGTGGAAAAAGGTAGATTACTCCTTCAAGAACTTGAAAGACTTTGGTTAAAAAGATCTCCTGTAAAATCCTCAACAAAATGTCCTAGCCGAAGCCAACACCTAACACCAATACGGAATAAAAAAAACTCACTCTTCTTTGCTGATCTGTTGTACTATATCTAATCTCTGCAGAAGCTGTAGATATTCTTCAAACCGTCCCTTCCCAAAACCGCTATTCCGAAACAATTTCTGTTCCAAGATGGTCCTGGGTATGCGCCCCTCCTTGACGAAGGACGAATTGACGTCGGCAACGTTGATGAGTATGTTGTACATCCAGACTGGGTCGATGAAGTACAGGCTTGTTAGACCGTGGAGGTGGTCATTGAAATGTACAAGGGTGCCACTGGTGCTCAGGAACTCAATCGCTTGAGAGACGGAGAGCGAATTTAGAACATGGATTTAAATGCTACGCAGGGCATAGGCGAAGCAGAACTCTGATTGTGTACTATATGTTTAATACAAGACCTTCTTGGTTTTGTATTTTGCTCAAGTTGTGAAAACCGAAATTATTTCCGAACAAGCAAACGCTGGTTTTCTTTTATGTTTCCAATACAGGGCGAGTAAACAAAAATAGAAGCGAAACCCAAATGTCGGAGCTATTGTTTTAGGGAATTTCTGCATGTAGCACTTTGAAAATCTTAAAACGGTGGTTGTGTTTAATTTTGTTTTTAAACTTGAGAAGCACATGAGTGATTTGAATGAATCTTGCACTAAAAGAAAGTTTAGAAATTGGGCTTTGATATCCTAGATTTTGAAATTGCTATTTGCAGAACTTCCCTAAAACAATGGTCCCGACAATTGGGTTTCTTTTTTTTTTTACTCGCCCTGTATAGTCAATCTTTTAGAACTTTATCCCCGATTCTAACTTACACTCGATCCCTGACTTACCACCGTACGGTTGATCAAAATATTGCATAAAATATGCTGCCGTTCTGTCGATGAATCGTAAAACAAAAATGCATCGAGCCTATTCACAAACATCAAATTTATAGTGACGTCTAGCACCAAGAGCACATGGGTAGAAGGCTATCCAAACAATTACGTAAGTGTCAATGTTCCCCCCTTCGTGGCAAAACGAAGCGTTTACCTTCATTGATGTCCTCTTGGGTTTCTATCTTACTGTATGGAATCGTTTTCATGTGATGCATCAGCTCCGCATCCTCCAAGACTTGTGGACGAGAGGGCGTGCTTTGCTTACGATGCACACGCTCAATGTCTATGATCTGTTGGAGAGCAATGAACGAGCTGGGGACCTAGATATCGACAAAAAATAACAACAATCTCATTTATACTGCTGGTGAGTCAGCTTTTTTTTCAGTTCAGGAACCATGACTTGAAGAATGCATATTCGAGTGACTTTTTCCAACTTTCACTCGGGAGGTAACACACTGAGTACACAGTGTTTATAAGTCGGTGAAGGGCAAAACCTAATTTTATTTATTCGGATTTTGTTCGCTGAAATTCTGTAACAAAATTATGCTGCCGTATTACAATTCACAAATAAGGCTCAGTAATGATTGTAATTGTCAAATCTTTAGTGGCAGCTTTGTCGTTTCTACCAGTGTGCTCCGTGCACAAGGAACCCCTTAACAAGAAGAAGGTGAATTATCCCGATGGTCACTTGATTGAAAAATTGACGCGCGATCATAACACGCGGTTTATAGTTGTCGCTAATGCAGCGACTGTCGCTGAATGGAGGGTCCTAGCGACGTCGCTACAGAGCTCAAATTCTTGACCTATCGCCGTTGGAGAGTTAGCCATGCCCCTTAGACAACCCAAAAGAATAACATTTTGTCAACCTCGTTTTCATGGGTGCGATCTTGCTGCGCCTTGTTGGTTCCCATCATGCCTTGCGCGAACGTAGCCCCTAGAATTGTGTATTATAAATGTCCCACTATTTGGGACAAGGATTAGGCAAAATAAAAAAAAAACATGTTTAGCGTCCTGCCTCTTTGACAAAAAGGAAGGAGGAGGCCCTTTTTTTTTTTTTTTTTCTTTTCAAAATGGCCGCCCGACACATTTTTCAAGACAACGCGGCCGGGCTATTTGATAGTCCTGAGTTCTGAGACGTAGAGAACCAGTTAATATTTCACACGGGGTGAATGTATGATAGACTCTCGTGCAGACGCACGTGCTAATTGACTATTTCCACAGCTTTATACACGGTATAAAAGTCTAAAAATACGATTTCTTTCATCAGAGATCGTTAAAATTTATCAATTTTTGTCTTTTAAAAAAAAAAAAAAAAAAAAAAAAAAAAGGAGGCGGCCTCTAAAAAGGAAGCGGGCGGGGACGCTAAACATGATTTTTTTTTACTTTGCCTTATACTTCTATACACAATTTTGCGGCCAAATAATACACCATCGTGCAAACTGGTCTACCAATTTGTCATAGGCCTGTAATGATGCTTGAGTGAAAGAGGTCGAGTGTTTTTTTAATGTTGTCCATTGGGCCTATTTTTATATGTACGATTTGTTCCACATTTCCCTCGTTGTGACCCAATGCATGAGACAACTAAATACAAGGCCTTTCTGAAAAAAAAGCAAACAACTATAAACTTATTTCTTTAGGCAAGTTGAATTCGAAGGACGGTACTGAGGTGTCATTTACCGTCAGAGATGTCACATATGAAAAGTGTCATGTTGTTATTGTACACGTATGTGTTAACATTTTTATCAAAAGTGGTAAAAAAATTAAAAAATAAATAGCGCCCCCTCTTGGGCGAGCACGATCTTTAGATGTTTATGAAATTTCCGAAGTCGGTAAATACTACTCAAAACAGTTCAGGGAATTACGCAAGTTTGATCTCTGCAAAACGGGATACTTTTGAGACGTTTGTGTGGCAGCAAACACACCGTTCTTTTTTTTCATTGGTTGCGTCAGATTGAGCATTCGCGCTTTAACTTTTAAACATGACGCAAACAATTGAAAAAAGACCGGTGTGTTTGCTGCCACCAACGTCTCAAACACTCCCATTCCAGGTGAAACCCTTATTAATACCATTCTTCCAATCAGGGGAGTGTCTCTCTTTGCAGCAGCAGCTCCTGTAGTCCACCTCTTCTTAATCTTCATTTCCAGAGATGTCTGATAAATGACACGCCGTAATTCTTCAATGCCTTCCCCGTCAGGGCTCGTTGCTGTGACCTCGACAATATCAGCGATGTCTGGAAACCCGTCTCGGCCACTGTATTTATTGATGATCTCAACGTTCTCTGCCTTGTCTAAATGGGTGGAGACAATGATGGTGGCACTCTCCGTTGTCCTCGACTAAATAAAATCACGATTTAAAACAAATCAAAAAGTTGTTTCCATATTGTAGGTTGTTTTGAATTCATTATTCCTACTTTTCTCTTTAATTTGCTGCGTATTGTGGGCCCGCAATTTGAAACTAAGCTTTCACGAGAAAACTATATGCAGTCGTCCTTTAAGGGGTTTATCGGGCATTCATTTTCATTAATGGTTAAACATTATTTCACATGAATTTTTTTGTCAAGCATCTTTTAAGACTATAATGCATGTCCGTATTCCTATAAAATTCTGTATTATCTCACTGTATATCGTACCAGACAGAGTCTTCAATCCGTGTATACACACCTGTCTTTCTTAACTAAGTTTTCAGACAGATAAAAACAGAATGACCTTTAGAAGTGGAGACGTGATCGTCTGATGGAAGTGGCCCAAACGAAATTGGAGAAATTACCGAAGATAAGTGTTCCCGATGGTACAACCATTACCATACATACATGTACATGTACATACCCCGATGTCTTGCAAGTCGATGGGTGAATCAGCGATGAATATTTTTTTTTCAACATTTAAGATGTCCCTTCTAGATATGTTCAAGGTTTTAAACAAGTACACTGAGCAACAGTGAACAAAATAAAAATCCTTAGCCCTTTTTATTTTTATTATTTCGTTACATTATCTGCAGCTACATTATCAATTGTACAGTTACAAAGATTATGTAAAAAAAATAGTCGAAGGAAAATAAGAAAAAAATCTCAATAAAAAAAAATCTTGTTAAATTTGAATGACCAAACGCTGAAAATGATTGCCCATAAACGAATTAGAAATGAAAAGCATGTTGGTGATACGTCATGCGCAACGATTGAATGCATGCGTCAACCGTCATAAGATGTCAAAAATCTTCATCGGAGAATGCTACACATAATTTTATTAAAGTTTTGACTTCAACCAACCGAAAACGAACGTTAGAGAAAAATCTTGGGCGCCTAAAAATTGAAATGAATGCCCCAACAATGAAAAAGAAACCCCAATTTAATCAGATGTTTACAAATTACGCGAAATTGAGTGCCCAATTTCTTGGCACTGCTTACGTAAGTGAAAAAATCCCTGCTTATTCCGCGCTTACGGTAAGCGTATTTCACGTGTTTTCGATGGATGTTTGCTTCTGCGCATGCGTACATCCCGTAACTAGGGATTCTGTTTCTTACAGGGTTTTAGCACAGAATTTGTATGCTAGCGCGGTTACAACAAATTGGTGATCGTAAGCGCGGAATTCTGTGGTTAGAGAGCCAAGAAAGTGGGCCAAGAAAATTTCGGAATTTAGCCGGGAAGACCTACAATACTTTACCGAATTCTTCCATTGGTTTTGGTCAGTGTAGAATTACTACCTGAATGTTAAGCAGCCAGGGTTTGAGCTTCTGATTGAAACCTCTTAAGCCGTCTCTGAGATCCCAGACTAACAGGTACAGCGTCCTTGGTGTCAAGAAGCTCTGATGGATAATAGTATCCAGCTCACCTCCCTTCAGATCCCACATCGAAAAATGTACCTCACCTTGGTCAGGAACACTCTGAAACAAAGGGGGAAAAACATGTTTACGTTACATACTCAGTGGGGACATTCTTTTGTTTTCGTGTAGTAAAGAAAAACCGTGTGAACAAACTCATTTTACCCACAATGTGAAAACTCTTTCAACCCATTATTTTTTTTACTCATATCATTCCCTTGAGTGTTTCTCTTCATTCTGTGATGGATAAACCTCACACAAAAATGCCTCTAAACTTGAAAATTAAAAACTGAAATTGCGTCGTTTTTAGGTGTCAATCTCTGACCGTTCCCATCCATTGTGTTACAGTTCTGTTTTGTGTTCTTGCAAGCCTTTACTGGCGAGCTGCGAAGCAGATGCGAGCCTATGTAATACCGATTTCCATCCCTCCGGACGCCCGGGCTGACGACTAGACGGATGAGACGTTGGGGTGATGGCAGTGTGTTCCTTTTATCTCTTTTTCTAAAGGTTTCACATCCAGGGTAATGTTTGTCTATAGGTTTCACATGTAGGGTGATGGCCAGGACGTCCAGCCATCCGGCCGTCTGCATTCAGATTACATTGTTGAAGTTTTTGCTTCTAGCTCATTTGGTTAAAAAGTTCTTTATCAACTCTACAATTTCCAATTTCCAATAGGTTAATTTCATTGCAGTAAATTTGAGGATTTTTTTAATGAATTTCGATTCAAGAAAATGTTAAAGTTTGTATCGTTACAACATGTACTTTTTTTGTGGAGGGGGGAATTCATGTGTATGTGCATGACGCTTCTGGTTGTATTTTAGTTTCATGGGGTGGGTGGAAGTAGGGGTGGGTTGGAGTAGGGGTGGGTGAGGATAAGTAGGGGGAGGTATAAGGGTAGGGGTGGAAGTAGGGGAGGGGACGGGGTTTGGGTAAGGATGGGGCTGGGGATGTCTGATGGCGGTTATGTGGTACAGGTACATGTGCACATGTGTAACGACATTTTGATGACTTTATATTGGCAAGTTTTTTTAAAAACTGACCTCTACAATTTGGAACATCAATTTGAATTCTGACGTGCCCGGGCCACCCCTAGCTTCAGAATCCATTTCCACCTTCGACTGCGAGCCATTTAGGCTTCGCCGTTCTATTTTTCTTATAAGAAAATGGATCAGAACACATTATAGTTATCCTACCTGATCCGTTGGCCTAGCAATCCTCCTAAAAATGGTGTTTTGTTGAGGGCTTTTGTCAGGGTTCTGAAGAGTCCAAGAGCAAACATTGATGCCCATATCAGGTAGAACTTCGCTCTTGGTCAAACAGGACATCACGGAAGTTTTGCCGCATTTCTGACCAGACAAAGTAACAATTACTATTCTTAAAATAAACGACAGGTGTAAGGAACAAGGAAAGTACAATGTTGTCATCCGGGACAGTTCCTGTTATTAGTGACATTCGGTAACCGTCCATGAATAAACGCAAACTTGCTGGCACACGATGGGTCCTTCCTCAGCATCTCTATAAGATCACATCCCCTGCATCCTACACCTCTTGTAGCGACGCTTTGTATAGGGTAGTACAGTTCCATGACAAGACAATCCTGAAGTAGTTCAGGAAAATAGAGCATGTTGCAGCAAAACCTGGCCCTCGTACTTTCAATTTCATATACTGGGCATCACGCTGGGCAAGCTTTTGGATTTATGAACTCACGTTTTTTTAGGACCGATAAAAAGCATGGCAGGTACTTTGTGTATATATAACAAACATATCAACCCGACGCAAATTTCCATCTTATAAATAGTTAATGCGGTACCCGCTGCTATGTACATCAGATTCGAACCAGCCAACCGATCCCTCTAGCTCCCTGGTCGAGTGGTAAGACGTCTGCACTAGAAAGCAGGAGGTCGTGGGTTCGAGTCCCACCCGAGTGATTTTTTTCCAACTTTCCGTCGGGAGGTAACACACTCAGTATACAGTGTTTAAACGTCGGTGAAGGGCAAAACCTAATTTGATTTATATTACACTCAGAAATACCCGAGCAACCGGGAACATATCCGAGTGTCAGCGAAAACGTGTTCGGATGTTTTCGGAAACGGGCGCAGGATTCTGCCCGTTTTGGCACGTACCGTGACACCGAGCTGGCCTATAAAACTTTGTCAGGATAAAAATTATTTGGTCGGGAAACAAGACTATATGACTGGTACAGAATGGTAAACTTATTAGTTTGTCAATAGTGGTACATACCTCCGGCCCCACTAACACGAGTTTCATACCGCGGTAGGGGCTGCAATTCAAGTATCTTTCGTTGAGTTTCTCCAGGATTTCCCTTGTTTGCATGACAGGCACAAGAGTATCTGGCTCCTTTATCTTCAAGTCGTCGAGTTGGAGGGACCACAATCTTTTCAATCGCGCCAGGTTGTCTGGGAGTTTCTCTATGCCTGTATTACTGTACAACACAAACAACTCCATTTTAGAACTGTGCTTTTGTATTATCTGATGACGTAGTGGCTCTTTCTTTGCCTTCAATGCAGTTCCGCAAACCGCTGTTTGATTTATGCAAGGGTTACTATGTACATTGAGTTTTTCATTCCCAACTTTTGCTTATGCTCTTTTAAATACATCTCTTTAACCATTTTTACTGTAATATTGATGGTGATCTACATGTATGATGCTCATACCCACTGAGATCCAGTCTTTGTAGGCGAGCCAAATTGCAAAGACTAGGGGGCACGTCCCGTAGCTGGTTATTCCTCAGGTCAAGGGTCACCAGAGAATCGTTGAAGATCTCTGGGAAGACAACTGAGTAAGGTTTGCCATCTCCGATCATGGGTAGCTCTTCCAACCGGGCGTGTGGAGTTTTATCCCTTGAGATGGACTTGAAAAAGCTGGAAAAGTATGAGGTTTGGTGTAACATCGACTCTGTGGCAATAATTAGGCCTAATAATGGAAAAAGAGGTGTAAGACAACTGACGGTTGGTAATCAACCAGTCCAAAGGGGCGGTTCATTTGCAATGTCCACGCCCTTCATTGGTCGTCAAAAGGACACGGCGACTGATAAGGTCATTGTGTTAAACCTTTCTTCATCGAACCTCACAAAAATACAACAGTAAACTGTGACAGCGGCAAGATGGATGATGCGATCAAGCTAAACGAGTCGTTTGTCAACCCTGGTCGATTTTTTTACAGTACTGAAAAGAACACAATCTCAGCACTACTGATGTGAAAACCGCATGCTGATACCATCTTTAGTTAAAAAACTATGGAAGTCGGTACACCATGAGATGTGATTTGATGAAGTGGCCCTATTTTGGCCTTTATCTCCAAATGCAAATTCCCGACAAACGACTCATTTTGCTTGATCGCATTATCTCTGAGGTATACGAATCTTGTGTTCTATAAATAACAACCAACCAACTCCCCAAAAAACCAAACACTGTTTCTCATTCCAACCTTTTTCTCTTGGCACTGGCAGGTGAGGACGGGGAGGACGGGGAGGACGGGGAGGACGGGGTCGCCATAAACCTGAGACGATTATCAGCCAGTAACAATTCTGTGAGGCTGTAGATGTTCCAGTAGTCAGCAGGAGGAAGCTCAGTGATCTGATTGCCAGACAGATTCAGCCATTTCAGCAGAGTCAGCTGACAGACAGTCCAAGGAATCTCCGTCAAGTGGTTACAGCTGAGGTTTAAGTTCGTGAGGGAACGATTCCAGTACTCATGCATGTCAGGGATTTTCTCGATCTTATTGTTGGAGGCATCCAAGCGTTTCTGCAAGAACAGGTTAAAATCCTTGTTATATCTACACAAAGGGTCTAACACCCCCTCCCCTCCCAATTGGGGAACACAAAATACGAACATCATTCAGAAAACAAAATCCATGCCTGATTTTCCCCCTCCCATAAGCAAAACCTGGATCTTCTTATGTGAAGGACAATTATGGATGCCTGGTGCACTGAGGGAGGCGAGCATTAAAAGATGCATTTCCCGCGCTATTGTCGAGTATAAACATTTAAAAAAAAATTAATTATAGGTTTTCCTGGCTATTTTAAAACATTTTTTATTCAAATTTCCATTCAAACATTCAATGTCGTCCATAAACACGCTTTTTCCCAAACCAAGTTAGTCGTTAACCATTCATTTTTTGTCTAGAGGGGGTTAAAGCATATTTTTCACCCGAAACCCCTGTACTTTTCCAGCATATTTTCGATTTATCATTTTTCGAGGGTGACAGGGACATTTGGCCCCAACCCATTAAATTAATAACAATATGACTTTGCGCCTGTTTTATTCCCCCCCCCCCCTTGTTTCCTTTTTTGTGGCTTTTCCGGGGGGACTGTTATATTGAATACAACATATATGTGATGCGATCGAGCTAAATGAGTCGTTTGTCGGGATTTTTTATTTGGAGATACAGGCCCAAAAAAGAGACACTTCATCACATCACTGCATCACATCTTTTGGTGTTCCGACTTCCGTAATTCTTGAACTAAAGATGGTACCAGCATGTGGTTTTCACAGCAGTAATGCTGAGATTGTGCTTTTACAAAATCTGTAATAAAAAAAATTGACCAGGGTCGACAAACGACTCATATAGCTTTATCGCATTACATATATTTAACTTTCTTTAGGACAATAAAATCAAAAGAAAGACAATAAATTTATGAAGAGACAGGGAAAGAAAAAAGTACATAATCATTCTGATATAAACGTGTTTCATTCGAATTCCCCAACTCTAACAGGCATTTTCGTCCGAGAAAAAAAATTACACGCTTTTACTAAAACCACTTTAAACCATTAACCATTCAGTTTCACAGTTTGGTCATCCTCTGGGTTAGCATATTCGTCATTACAGATCAAATTCGTCTATAGCTGTTACTAAATGGCAGTATTCAGATATCAAGTTTGTCTAATGCCTAAAGTATTGAGTGTAAATAAAAAAAAAATGACAAAGTTATGAAAAAATGAGGAAAGAAAAAAATACAGACTTATTCTTCGTGGAGGTCTTTGTGCCTTGGAAGATATTGATATGAGTATGACATAATTAAACAAAATTAGGATTAAATTGTGCAGTATCAGACGAATTTGATTTCCGAATAACAAGGTTTGGCGTAGACGAAACGAAATTGAATAATCCGGGACGAAAATGTATAATTATGCTCATTGTTTAAATTTGTTTGGATTAAATTTTAAATTGTCTGACAAAAGACGTCAGACAATGAAAGTGCTCTAAATCGATGTTACAAATGTCGAATTCGAATGACAAACGCTTTTATAATAGCCGAGAAAATCTATGTTTCCTTAAACTGTTTTGATACAAAATTAAATAAAAAGGGGAGGGGCACATGGTGTTGGTGGTGGTGGTGGTGTGTGTGTGTGGGGGGGGGGGGCGCACAGGCCTCAAGGGAGGGGTGGTTCCCTCCCCCAGCCCTTACCACACTTTACTCCTCACAATAGGTTTTTCCCAAAACTAAATATCAGGACTACATTGACACATTTTACCAATGGTTCGGCTACTTACCAATGGGCAATTCCAGACAGCAGGAAGCGCTGATAGTCTGTTATTAGAAACATTGAGTTTCTTCAAACATTTGGCAGCGCTGATACCAGGAGGAATGTGGATGATCTTATTATCGGACAGATTTAACTCCGTCAGGCTGCTGCAATCCCAGACAATTTCACCCTCATCTGACGGGGAGAAATAGGATTTTGGATTCGAAATTATTCTCAAGATATTTAAAGGAGTGACATTTCTGTTGTGGCCTATAAGTTAAAACAACAACATGTTTTCCTTATAAGCCTACCTGGCTTGACCAGCTTGAAGATGGAGCGCATGCGATGACTAGTGATGCGATTGTGAGACAAATTCATGTGCTCAAGCAGAGGCAGCATGAAAATCTCCAGGATAGCATTATCCAGTTTATTGTAGGAAACCTTCAGATTTGTCAACCTGTAAGCATAATGATTGCACATTTTAAAAAGTTTGTTTTCATTCAAATTCATAAACGATTAACTTCAATTTCGTCTCGAGAAGACTACAACCAGCAAATGCTAAAATGAATCTAGTCATTGGTCATTCCAAGTGATCAATGGTCAATCAATTTCTACATAAT